CCACGGAGTGATTTTTTATAAACGGTTTCTTTCCCATCCCAGTCATGGCGGGTACACTGTCTCTGCCACAGCTAATGGCTCACTGTCCTTTCTGGTGGCCGGGACACAGACATGGCCTGGGTAAAAATGCAGTCGAAGAGGGCTCCCCTGGTGGCGCGATGGTTAAAGAGTCCGCCTGGCCAATGCAGGGGACACAGGTTCGAGCCCTGGTCCGGGAAGATCCCACATGCCTCAGAGCAACTAAGCCCGTGAGCCACAGCTACTGAGCCTGTGCTCTAGAGCCTGCAAGCCACAACTACTGAGCCCACATGCCACAACTACTGAAGCCTTCACGTCTAGAGCCCGTGCTCCGCAACAAGAGAAGCCACCACGATGAGAAGCCCGCGCACCACAACAAAGAGTAGCCCCCACTCGCTGCAACTAGAGAAAGCCCGTGCGCAGCAATGAAGACCCAACACAGCCAAAAATAAAATAAATAAATTTATATATTAAAAAAATGCAGTCAAAGAGCCGTGCAGCATTCGAACTTCAAATATTTGGCAGTGGTCTACCTGACATTTAAGAGAGAAAGCTCCACACAGGGAAAACAATGGGCCAGCGCTTAGGGAGAAACCCTAGAGGGACTGCAGAGGTAGCCTCCCAGGACCCACTGAGTGGACACAGTGGCCGGCAAGGTATGACCCTCACCTGGGGACAGTGTGACAGAGGCAAACTGACTTGTGAGCGGGGAATGAGCTACACAAACACTTACTAACGGGGGCTTTAAAGCTGGCAGGCCATGAAAAGCCAGTATCTGAACAGCGCGTCGAATAAGGTGTTTCTCAAGCCACAGCTTTCAAAGAATTGGTCTAAGAATGGACTCAATTGCCACCTCCTCCAGGATTTGTACTAACCCACACTTTTCTACAAGTCTCCTTTCATCGGCATCTGCATGAAAAAGTGAAGTGTTGGGACTTCCCTGGTGGCACAGTGGTTCAGGATCCACCTGCCAATGCAGGGGACACGGGTTCGAGCCCTGGTCTGGGAAGATCCCACATGCTGCAGAGCAACTGAGCCCATGTGCCACAACTACTGAGCCTGCGCTCTAGAGCCCACAAGCCACAACTACTGAGCCCGTGAGCCACAACTACTGAGCCCACAAGCCACAACTACTGAAGTTCACACACCTAGAGCCTGTGCTCTGCAACAAGAGAAGCCACGGCAATGAGAAGACTGCGCACAGCAACAAAGCGCAGCCCCCGCTCGCCGCAGCTAGAGAAAGCCCACATGTAGCAACAAAGACCCAACACAGCCAAAAATAAATTAAAAAAAAAAAATGAAGTGTCTTCTGAAGGGCATCGTGCTGGACCAGGACTCTGCCCAGGGAGCCTGCAACCCAAAGTCAGACCCTCTGCCCCCTGGAAGCACGCAGATGTGGAGAACGTGCCCCTGCCCCCAGCTGCCGCAGTCTGGTCCCATCACTTGAGTTCCCGACCTGCCACCCAGCGCTGAGGGTGTCTGAGCAAGTGACACATGCCTCTGAGCTTCAACGTTCTCACCCGTGACATGAGCGTAGCACTCCTTTTCACCTTACTGACTGTTACACGACAACGTGGGCAGAGTGCTGGCTGCCCAAGGCCACGGACATGGCATCTGTTAATGTGACTTCTGTTCTCGGCGAATGTCTGCTTCCTGAACAAACAGAAACAGACTAAAAGGATGGATCAGGCCCGGTCAGCACTTTTTAGAAGTTTAAACTGAAATGCAGGTCAGTGGTGAAGCACTCTTTGAACTAAAGGAGAGAGAAGGGTGTAACGAGGGAGAGGTGAGGACAGGCTCCCGGACCAGGCGTACGCTGACCAGTCGTCAGACAGTGCTGGGCAGGACCACGTGGCAGAGGGAGCGGCCAGGCACTGTGGGCATCAGCGCCGGAGAGGAGATGGCCCTTGGGGGAGGGCAGCTCAGGAGACACGGGGCAGGGGTGCTCCGGCTGGCGTCAAGCCCAAGTGCTGGGGTCGGGTTTGCAGACATTTCCTCGGTGATCAGTATGAGAGTCAGATTGTGGAGGGCAGTTCATCCCCCAAAGAATCAGGATTCAGGGCTGTGCTGGCATGGCCGGGACCAGCCTGCCGCCTGGGCAAGGAAGTCTCTTCCCAGCTCTGTCTAGAGACGTCACAGGGGGAGCCTGAACCAGGCCCTGAGGGAGGACTGACTCCCCGAAGATAGACAGCCAAGCCAGCTCCTTCCCCCTTCGGAGAGTGGGCTTTAAACACTTCTGAGCACACCACAGACTTTATGCCTTCAAAGGGTTTTTTTAGTGGAATTAATCTGTGTTTTGGAAACACATCTCTGGCCAAGGGTGAAGGAGAGACTGGAGTGTGAGGGAGAGATGGATCTAGATGGCGCCTGCGGTGGCCTCAGCAGTAGCTGACAAGGCTCGAACCAAGAGAGGGGATGTCTAAAGTTAGCAGTTACGTAAATGAGGGTTATTCCTTTCTCAGAAGGCTGTTTCTACATTAAAGCATCAGCAAGTTTCACCTCAGGTTTAAAACTCTACAAATTAATTATTAGTATGAAATCCCATGATTTTACTTACTACTGATTACTAACAGTCTGTACTCAAATGTAAAGAAAGAAGTAACCTGAACACACAAAAAAATCCCCGTAAATTTGGTTTCTTGCCTCTATCTGCAGGCAAACGTTATCAACTGTCAGTGGCAACAGCCAGAAGTAATAAGTAATAAGTGGTACACTGACTACCAAGGTTGTATTTTCAGGGCTGCTGGCCAAGTCTCCCATTTGCACATGGCAGTCATCTGTCACAGCCGGACCTGGGCTTTCCTGTCACCTCGATACTGATGTACTCCAGTGAAGGCTCTCAAGAATTTATTAATATACATGTGTCATATCTTTCAAGACTGAGCCAAAAGGAACCCCTGGCAGGAAGTCTCTCCTAATTTACCCACCTCCAATCACTACCTGTTATTTTATACCTTCTCTGCACCCACATGTTCTCTCGCCACCATATTAACTTCAGGAGTTGGAGGCTCTCCTCTGGTCATTTCCTTTCTGTTTCCGCTCTCACCTAGATCTTAAGCAAATCTGTCTTTGCCACACTAGATAAGGGAATCCTGGTCTTGGCCTGAGCTCTAACTGGTTGTGTGACCCTGGGTGAGTCTAGGAGAAAGAAGTGAGTGAGTGAAATGACCTGGGGCGTCACTGCCACACACAGGAAACTGCTCCAGCCCCTGACTGCCCCACGCACACCTCAACTAGCTCTCTATGGGCAGCAAGTGCTCCAGAAAGGGCTCATCCAGTAAGAACATAATGGATGCTTTTCTTTTTTGACGGGGACCCCTTTGTCTCAGAGACAACTGCTCTTTCTGGGATAAGTAGCCATAAATACCGACTCCTAAAATACCAGACCCGAGTGCTCTGTGGAAGGTCTCAGCTGTATGCGGAGGTGACTGGTAAAGCCTGCAGGATAACTCAGAGGCCTCGGAGCTGTGGACACAGCAATCCGAGTTCTGTTTCTGACTTGACCACTAACCTGAGGAGCTGGCTGGACCATGCCAGACCTTGAGCTTCCCTGCAGGAATGGCAATAAAAGGATACAACTTTTAAATTGTGAAATGAAATGAATTCCTTGAAAGCAAATAAGGTCTTGATTTGAAGTTGAAATATTAATCCTATTCAATGTCAAATGTAAAGCAGTACTTTATTTAAAATCAAGGGAACTTTTATTCTGATTGGTTGAAAGAAAATAAATCCTGCATCCCATTGCCCCCCTCAAGCCCTATTAGAAGCTTAGAACTCCATGGAAAGGAAACATGAAGTTTTTCTGTCTCAACAGGAGTGATATCACCTCTAAGTAGGAGTGAAAAACTTACTGTGTTTATGTATAAAGCACATGCATACACACGGTATGTACAGATACACAATGAATGTGCGGCATTACAATTTCGCTGGGGGAAGAGAGAACGGTGTTATTACTGTGCTGTGCGCCTCACGCCGCAAGTGAAGCCACGCTAAGACATGGTGAGAAATGAACCTGGTGCAGCCTAGAGGAACCCAGGCTGGAAAAGATCATTACATCAGCTGCCAGAGGTTAACTGGAGGGGGACCCAGGATGGGGTGGGAGAGAACAGGTTTTCCTACTTCTGGAAGCTTCAACACAGAATCAGTCTTCCCAAAGAATTCCACAGAACACATTTTCAATGAAAATCAGTTTACTTTCCCACTGCAGGGAAGCATGGAAGACTGAGTCCCATCACCTCCTCATGGTCAGACAGCGGCTTCCTTTCTCCACCCTGAGAGGTAAAGAAACACGGTTTCGCCACCTCAACAGGAGAGACAGCCGCTTGAGGCAATTCCTACCGCCGCCCCCCAGGCTCAGCCTGAGCTGGCAACAGCTTCAGATAAGCCCTGCTGGCTTCTCTACAGAAGATCACAGCCCAGCTTGGCGATGAAAACAGTGGGACATTTTGCCTCGGAGGGCCACACCTTCCAGCGGCACAGGGACCTTCTGCTGGCTTCACCCCGTCCTCCTGTTGCCTGCACTCTCTGCTGAATGGACCAGTGAAGACATCTCAGCTTACAGAGAGCCTGGGTGCTGTGTGGGTCCCCTACCCATCACCTGTGCGGCTGGGATCTTAGCACAAAAGTCCCTCCCATATTCCTGTGAAAGCCACCTTGCTGGTGACACTTCTGATGCTAATGTGGGAATGGTGATGGAGAGCAGGGATCTGGCCCCTGCCCCACTGTGTGCCTGGTGGGGGGGGGGGGGAGGATGGGAACCTAAATCTCACCTTTCTTACCTCATAGGATTGTAATAATAAAGGGGAAATGTGCTGCAACCATAATGCAATAATACTGGTTTCCAAAACCGTAGAAGAAAACTATGAAATCACCTTTCTGTAAGGTACTGTTCCTATTTATTTTCCACTTTTAAATACTGCAAGCCTTTTAATCAACGAGGCGCTGGGAACAAAGGCCAGAACACCTGTCACACTTACAAATTACTCTGGGAAGCAATCCACAGGTTTCCACTCACCTCCACTCATGGTCAGGTGCCCCTGGTGACGAAAGACATGAAACAAAGCCCCACCAAGGCCCCTCAGGGGAGCACTCACCAGCTGCTTTTCTAAGGGAGGGATCGAGTCATGATGGCCATATATTATGCCAGGATTGTACTGACTGAAAAGGACCGGATAAAATACCTTCTTCCCTGCAAACCAGAAAACAAACATATGCGCTAAGCGACAGATAAAGCTGTTAGGTTTGTTCATTTACATGCGACCATCAGAAACAGCCTAGGGATCTGCGTCCACTGTCCCTTTTGCCTCCACTGGACTCTGACACAGACCTTAGCAGTACTGCGGCAGGTAGACCAGATGGACACACACGGATTCCCGACTTCCCAGTACAGGGGTAATGTTCCAAGCTCTGACGGCCAGTGGACCTGGCACTGGGCACAACTAGTGGGAGTGGGTGTGAAAGAGGGCCCCAGTGTCCCCGTCCTGCCAGACCTTAACCCTTTGACTGCTGGCTCGTGGGCCAGTCAGCCAGGGTGACCTCAGGCAGCAGGAAAAGACTTTGGGAGCCCCGGGTAGCTGCTCTTTACCAATTTTCACAGAAGAATTTCAGTATCTGAACAACGGACATGGCCATTCCAGTGGTTATCAGCTGAGCATCGGCCTTGCCGCCGAGTCAAAGCTATGAGAACAATTTTCATACTGTGGGTTCTTTCTGTCTGGAGCCCCTCCTGCCCTGGTAAACACCCATAGCCACTCCTTCCCCTCGGTTTCAGCAGTGTCTCCAGGCCCAATCCTCCCCACCACACGTGCTCCCGGGTCATCCCCTAAAGCTGACCTCCTAGGGGAGAATGGAAAAGGGGCTGTACACACGAACTTGGGACCAAGAGTCCCAGAGCTATGGTGGCTGACAGGCCCACAGCATGACACCAAAGGAGGAATCAAACCAGACGGCATCCTTGTCTTTGTCAGCAGGGTAAATAAGGCAGATCCAGGAGCGGGTCGTCGGGGCGAGCTAAGAGGACGCTTGGGAGGGGAGCCCCACCTGGCTGCGTGTTCAGCCTGCAGGTGTTGAGGAGCTCGGAGGTGAAGTAGATGTCCACGTCGCAGAAGAAGAGCAGCACATTGCGCCCCGTCCAGGAGCGGGCACCCACATCCAGCCCCTTTCCCCGAGAGAACTCCCCATTCAGCTGGATGAAGGTGAAGTTCCTGAAGTTGGAGGCTCTGAAAGGTGAGACCACACACAGTCACTCAGTTGCCCGGGCTTGCTGCCGGTGGGATCCCCTGGAAAACACACAACCGAGGCCCATGACATCTCACCACGTGTCTTCTGTGAGCCGAGGGCACTGGGATCATGGGCACCAAGGACACTTCAGAAGTTTTAGCACCAATTTATTTTTTTCTTTTTCTAGCAGTTTCCCCATATTGAAAACTACTGTCATGGCTAACGTGTGCTCCTCACGAGGCGGAGGACGTGAGTCAGTAAAGACCAGGTGACAGAACCCGGGACAATCCCAATGCCTCTGGAGCCAATGAAACCAGTGGCCAAGGAAATAAAGCCACACTGCAATGGCCCCACTGAGCAGCTTCTCATCGGGATTCCCTCCAGGAACCCGGCAGCGTGGTCCGGGTGTATGTCTATCCCCAGACACGCTTACACCTGGATCCCTTCCCCACCCGAAGGTAAAACAGCTGAGCACAGTAAGGAAATGACACTTGGATTCAGAAGATGAGGATGTTTGGGACCTGGCTTCCCTGTGGATTAACGCTGTGATCTAGCCAAGCCCATTAATCTCCTGGAGCCTCGGCTGCCTCATCTGCAAAACAGAAATAACGACACCTTCCTTAACTGCTCTCAGAGTGATCAGCGTGGTAAGTGACGCTAAGAATATAACGCGCACCAGGTAAGTATCAGTCAGTCTGTTACCGGCACGGGCCTGAGGTACCGGAGTCCAGGTGCTTCTTCACTTGCCTGCTCTCTCCCAGAACGTTCTGAGATGCGGCACGTCTTGAGCAAAAGTTCCAGGAACTCATCTAGTATCTAGTGGGACAGGGACTGTCTTCTCCCAGAGACCCACTCTGGGTCTTCCTGGACTCCCAATTCCACTTGCACAGGCCTGGCATCTGGCCAGCCCCTCTCCCGTGACACACCCTTCCTGTCCTGATGGCTTCCTCACTCAGAGTCCTCCCCCCACCCAGCCTATCCCATCCCCCGATTCTCTCTAATCCTGATGCCTCAAACGAGGTTCAAAACCCATCTCCATTGTTTGAAGTCTGTAACTATCTCGGGTAAAGGTCACCACAAACACAGTCATAAACTTTTCAAATGTGCATCTGGTAGTTTAATCAGTGGAACTAGTTCTGCTACCCTTCCTTGACTTGTCACCTCCTTTCAGACCTGGCAGTGAGCTTGGGTGTTTTATCCTGGGAATCTGGGCCCAAGCTTGTCTGAGGCCAAACATGCTTTTCAGGTTAAGGCAGAAGGCCTGGTGCCTGGAGAACTGGAGGGTAAGCCAGGGGCCCAGGTCCAGGGCCTGGAGCTGCCCAGCCCCACTGGGTACCCAACGGATGCTGGTGACTAAACGTGTCCACAGACGAATGACTGCAATCCAGCACTGCCTCTCGTTATTTGGGGCAGTCACTTCACTTCTCTGGTCTCAGTTTCCTTGCTGCAAAGCCTCATGGTACAGACCTCAGGCCCTTTACATGCTAAGGTGCTACTGTTGGATGATTCAGCTCAGCACTGCTCTACCTGATTCTACTCTTTCAGAACTCCGTTTTGACTCTTCTCTCCGGGTAGGCGGGCCCCAGTTCCTATTTTCTGTGAGTCGCCTGGGGGTTATGCCCCAGCCTTCCCTGGTAGGGACAGCGCTGCCCCCTTGTCTGCAAAGAAGACATCCAGGTGGAGTGAGACCCTTGCAGCACCTGTGCATCCCCTGGAGGTTTCTACAGCCCACTTCCCCCTGCCCTACTTGATCAGTTCTCAGGAAAGTTCTACCCTTGGGAGATGCCTGGGTTTTAACCTGTTCATCTAAGCTAGTCTCACAGAACTTGTCCACCGCCCAGTGGCCCGGCTTTCTCTCACAGCTGTAGCAGGTCTCTTTTCTCAACTGTCTCACAGTTCATACTCTGTGAGACCACAGGGACTAATTTCCAGGGCAGGGAGGGCTTACATGCCCAAGCACCAAATCCTTATTCACGTGTACCTGACTCATGACTCAGGTGGCTCCTCCCAGAGGTTTCCCAGGGTCTATCATTAGAGATTGCAAATAGAAAAATGCTTCACATTTGAACAATGGCAAGAAACTTTCGCCAAGAGTAGGGGAAGGCAGGTCCTTAATTCACTGTGTTAAAGACAAGCAAGATTTTTGTCCCAAACAGCTTACAGTCCATTTGTGTTGACATATCAAATATTTACACCCAAATAGTATATTTGCTATTTACTGTGTAGAATATCAAACTTTTGCACAAAGTGGAGTCGTGTTTAATACTTAAATAAGAATATAGGCAGCATTAGAAGCTGAACTAACAGCATCGAAGGCATGACCAGCCAGGGGGCTGAGTGAGTGGTCGGGAGGCAGCAGAGGGCTACAGGTCCAGGGAGAGTGGTGACTGGGGGAACACACGTACCCCACACAGAGCTTAGTCTCGTTTGTTCTGTCCCCCAATTCCCCAAGCCCTGGTCTGAACTCTGCTGATGGACTGCTCTTCTCTGCCCTGCTGCAGTGGGTGGAGGTGGGAGAAAGGGAGGGGAGGGGAGG